AGGAGCGCATCCTCCAGGTACCCTCGGTCACCTCCCCGCATCGACATCAGCCCGGCCTCCGCTGAGCCCGCCTGGTCGCTCTCTCCCCGCAGATGGCGGCTGACATCCGGGAGGCCGAGCGCCGGCAGCGAGAGACGGTGCAAGCCGCGCTCCAGGTCGGTGAGCTGTATCCTGCCCTGGCTACACCCTGGCGGGGAGCGGGCACTGCACTGCGCGCCGGCTGCGCTCGGGAGGGGCTAGGGGCGGCTGGGTGGGGGGCTGCGCCCAGTGCCACAAAAATTGTTCATTTTTCCTGAATCACACTCAGCTTCAACCAGAGCCAGAACTTTGTGCAGGACCTTCTGTCTGCAGACCCTCCACAGGATCTGAATGGTGAGCACCACTTTCCTTAGCAGTGGCTGATGCATCCCTGCTAAAAGCATCCAGCACATGGAGAGTTTGATGCTGTCATTACCAGGATCTTGCAAATATTTTCAAACTTTTGTATGCACTACAGAAAGCACTGGCCTCTTATTTCAGGGACAGCTCTTGTGCTGCAGAACAGCCTGGCCCGAGTGGAATGCAGACAGGACCTGATTTATCCTGGATGGAGTCAGGCATGGTTCTGACCTTCATTGGCCACCAGGTAGGGGTAACTGGCTAGCAAATGTGACTTCAACTGCAAGTCACCTACAGCACATGTCACAAAGCAGAACAAGGGGTGGTCTCCATCACAGAAAGAAACAGCTTTGTGGATTTGGGCAAGCAAAGTTCTCCCAATTTTGCCCTAAACTCTCCCAAATTTGCCCTAAAGTAGGACACCCAGTTTCAGTTATCCAGGTTTAACTTTCACTAAGAAAACATTCTTTAACATTTTAATGGGGAAAAAAAAGCCAAACCAAACTCTCTTTTAAAGAAGAGAAGAGCTTTCCTATGCCTTTTTCCAATAGAATTGGATTCTGGAAGGGAATGAAGACAATGCTCTTCTGTTCAGAGATACTCTTAAACATAAGATTCTCATAAGCATTTTATGTTCCTGTTAACAGGAGACAGAAGGGAAAGGAAATGTCCACACAGGTAAGTGCACCTGCATCATGACTCACTGGCTTGCTACCTCATGGCTTGCAAATGTCACAGAGATAAAGCAGTTTTGAAGCAGTTGCAGCATAACTAGGAGGTGGTCACTCTTTTGGCAGTATTTGACATACTAGAGAAGAAAACATGTCAGCATAGTAAAAACTGTTGATGCTGGTGCTGTGGGGAGTGTATGATTTGGGGTGTGACCTGCCACGGCCTTAGCTGACGCAGCCAGCTCATTTTTCTCAGAACATTCACTTTGTCACTTGGTGCTTGGTAGCAAGCAGCAAACGGGGGAAAGAGGGGACACTTTTCTCCTGTCACGGTTTAGAATAATTTCAGTGGCTAGTTAAGTATTCCTTGTGACTTCTAGGAGCAAAACCTCCGTGGCTAACAGAGGAAGAAGATGGAAGCAAACAACAAATTGGACCTTCCTATGAGGAATTTCTCAAACACAGTAAGCACACCTTTTAGTTAACCTTACAGTCATTTTACCATGCTAAAGAACCCAAAAGCAACTTGAAAAACTTTTGCTGAACAAAGTGTTTGGGCTTTTGAGAAACCCTATCTAAGGGAAAGTGTCCTCGTCCATGGTACGTGCAGGGGATTGCAGCAATGTGATCTTTAAATTCCCTTCCAACCCAAACCACTATACAATTATATTTTATTTTTCAGAGGAGAAGCAGAAGCTGAAAAAGCTCCCAGTGGAGCGTGTTGGTGCCAACTTTGACCATACCTCTCAGACAAGTGAGAGCTGGCTCCCTTCCTTTGGGCGTGTATGGAATCATGGCAGAAGGTGGCAGTCCCGGTGAGCTTCAGGGCAGCATAGATGGATGCCGGGGGTGGGGGGAGAGTCTGTGGCTTCTGTCCATGGCTATTCATGGAGCAGGCTCTGAGGTAGCAGCAAGCATGAGACATCCTGTTGTACCAGTTATACTACACAGTGCTTAATCCAGGCAGCGTATCATTCTTGTCCTGGAGCAGCGCACACATGGCTTGCAAGGAAGCATGCTCATGACTGTAAAGGCTGCACACATAAAGGCATCTGTCTCATTTTGCTTGGCTCACCTTTCAGCCTCACATACTGTCCCACTGGTGCCTTTTAATGTGCCAGACCTCTGTCAGCTAGCTGGAGCTACCACTCATTGAGGTAACAAAACTATTGAGGGAGCTTCCATGCTAGAACAGTAGGCACAGCACTTACTTTTTCAAGGGGAGTGTTCATTATCTCTGTCTAAAGGCTACTGCAGTCTGACCTCTATGCTCTCTTTCAGGCATCAATTTAGAACTGAATCAGGGGAAAAGAAGAAAAAAAGGTGATCAGATGAAGAAGACGAGACACCCAGCTCTGCTGTGGAAAGGCTGACTGTAGGTAGCTGCAGTTTTGTTGCAGACTGTCCTCTAGAGTCACACAGTGTCCATCTGAGCATCACATCTAAAGCCACACCAAGTCAGGCCCTGCCAGCAAGGACAGACTCCTGTGGATGTCGTATCTTCCCTATCAGAAAGCCTACTTTGTATAGCAAGTGATGCCAGTAGCCTATGCTGACATGAAACATCCTGCTAAAGAAAGAATTTTTGGAGAAATAAACTTTATTTTTTTAAATGCCTCTGTGTTTGTAGATCAACTGAAACTCATTTCAAATGCAGGGTCCACCCTGCAGGCAACTAATGCCAGGTGTTTGATATTTTCATTCAAATTTATAATGCTTCCCTTCATTCTAACATTCATCCATTACATTGTCTAACATCACTGACTGCTGTAGGTGATGCAGAAGTTTCTTCCCTTTCAGCAACACATTTGTAACACTAATAAAGACCAAAACTGGCTGTTACAGGACAACAGCCATGACCTCTATCAGAATCCACTGTAAATAATACATCAGTAATGAAACATACACATTCTTGAAAAAGAAAAATTATAATCAGTAATTTTATTGTGTGCATCTACATATGACACATTGTTGATGAAGTCACTGGAGAACCTGTAAAACAAGAAGTCCCCAATCAGGAAACCAGGTCAAAACAACCTAGCACAAAGCAAACAGTTTGACAGTTCTGTTCCAGCAGGAACACTTGGCCATGGTGGCCTGTGAGAACAGGGAGGACAAGTGCCTATTTGCCCTGCAGCCCACAGAGAGGGGAACAAATAATGCTTTCCCCAACCAATGAGCACAGGTACAAAATCAGAAATCACTCTAATTCTGGAGAACCGATGTTTCCAGTAACATTCCCCCAGGAAGTTGCTTAGGATGTGAGCAAAATATTCTCAAGCATTCGGAAGAGCAGCCCACCACAGCCATGTGGAAGTTGCCCATTACACATTGCATAGCAGTCCATCAGTTCCTGACACCACGACTCAGCTCCTCAGCACCCGGCCTCACCTCCTTATGCATCCTCCCCTGCAGCAGGTGCATCTCCACCTTTCGTGTTTCGGGTATAGATCACCTGGGCTCGGTGCTTGGACACCAGTTTGATTAACCCTATGAAAAAACAAAAATGTGTCAGTGTGCATGTACTGATGGATGCCAGGGATGTTGAGGTCCTTCCCAGAGAGGCAAGGCAATATATAAGAGAAAATAATAGGGGGCAGCAGCTTATGCGAGTCTTTTGTTCCCATCTGGCTGCAGTTACATCACAACCCATCCTTCTGACATTTTTTCTTAGTACAGCAATGCCTCTATGTAGCATTACTACTGCTCCATACTTTGGAGCACTTCTGAAATGCAAACTAAAGCAGTGTCTCTCCAGAAACAATTTACACATGGAGCACTTTAGATGCTTGCAGGCAAGCAAGGAAAACCAAACAGCCAATTCAAGCAGCTTTCTGGCTTTTTTTCTATGTTTGAGTGCTCACCTTTGCTGAGCAGTTCCTGGAGGGCAGCCCGAGCCAGGGAGCCTCGAATCTTCAGCCTTTCAGAGACAACTGCAGGTGTGATGAGCTTGTAGTTGGGCACTTCTTTGCACAGTTTGTCATAAGTGGCCTTATCAAACAGGACAAGGTTGTTCAACTTGTCTCTCACTTTCCCCTTGGACCACTTCTACTTGAAAAGAGAGAAAAAAACAACACTCCCATAGCCATCTTGTAAGCAAGAACAAAAAAAGGAACTAAACAACGCCCCAAGAACTGCCCCATCAAATGTCTCCGTATCACATCCCAAACTAAAGAAATGGTGGTGAGAGGCACAAAATTGCCTTTGTAAATGCACGTGTTGTAGATAATACCTGCGGTATAAAAATAAGAGGACTAAAGTCTTCTGTTATTCGCGTTTAACACTACTATGTACGACCGGCTAGCAGATGAAGAGCGAGCTCCTCTAACAAGACGCCCGT